ACAAAGCTGGCAAATTAATCAAAGAGGATTAAAGAAAACCTAAACTTTTTTATAAGTATAAATACAAATATCGTATTCTTGATAATGCATGGGATGTATCTAATTTATAATATAAATATTTCAAAAGAAAAACTTAAAGTTATAGGAAATTATTTTTGTATGAAAGGGCGCATAAAACAATTCATTTATATTAATATAAATTCATATAATAAAATTGATATATATTTACCCAATGAGAGCGCTAGAAATGAGGAAAAGCCAAAATCCCTTAAAAATATATAAAGTTGACGTATAAAAGGAGAAATTGGTGAAGCTTGGAAATTGAGAAACGTATATTAAACTAACTAATAAAGCTAAGATTGGTTCATAAGTCACGTTTACAGTAATCTTTGGGTTTAGTATGATTACATGATAATTTTTGTTTTTATGTATAGCTAACTACACATGTAATGTTATCTTCTTCTTCAATTAAACTAATGATTCGACTTAACAAGAGTAGGTAGTATTATTTGGGTATGTCAAAGCATGATTAGCTAGGCAGTTTCGGCCACCAACTAATTAAGCTTTTCAGGGTTATTTGAGAACCTTAGGAGGCACCTCGTTGCCTAATTTTGTTGGGTCCGAAAATAATCCCGATTACTAATTAGATGATTATAATAAACAAAATTGAACCGTTTATGAAGATTTCGAGACTCAATGTCGAAAAGACATGATGTGATGATAAGAGATACTTACCAATGTCAATAATGTCATTTGGAACCATATGTGTGCAACCATTATTTGGTCACATAAAGGTTTGTGATGGTGTTGAGTTAATGAAGACAAAGAGGTATATATAGTTATATACGTAACTGACTTCATTGATGATTAGGGGTGGATAGGAAGCACCTCATCCCCTTTCTTTAATGAACTTAAAAAAGATAAGAAACGTCTAAATAAGGTTATAATGCAAGCTTTTTTATCAAAGTTGCGCGAGAAATTTTTTCAAAATTTATGTTGGGGGTTGGGGATTTTGTCCCTTGAGGTCATAAAAATATATTTGGAACCATAACTCTACCAGTAGGACCTATAATGTCCCGAAAATGAGTTTAGTATAATAATATGGTTATTTTGTAAATCTATTGTATTGTAGTGGTAGTCGATATATAGGTGTAAGAGATGATTCCAATCACAATGTAAACATCTCATGAGTTTTGGGAATCCTTTATTGACCAGTTAACAAATATGATAACGTTTTCTTGGAACAAAGGACATACAACTATACATAAATGTGACTAATTCATTATACAATTATCAACAAATAACGCAGATAAGTTATTTATTAAGATATTGTTTTTATTCTTGTGCCTTAAAAAAATGAAAAGCAATACACGTATTTCAATATTCCCAACTTATTTATGCCATTTTAAAAAAATAAAAATAAAAATCGTTTTTAAAAAATAAAATAAAATAAAATATATGTGTCACTTAGCAAATATTTACAAGTTAAGACAAATAGTGGCATGTGAATTAAGGACCACTCTCTTGTTCATGGAGTCTCATCTCATAAGATAAGATGTGTATACCCGTATGAAGAAAAAGTAGGACCAATTCAATTCCTTTAGATTGAAAAAAGGTCTACACCGTTTAATTCTTGCCAACAGTTTTCCTATTCTTCAATTCTCCAACTATCATTTTCCCCCTTATGTTTTATTTGCAAACTTCATTCTCAATGTATATGGATTATTATATGTGATCAACATTTCTTCATCTAAAATTCTTTATATAAATATGTATGCAAAAAGCAACCTTTTCCTTTTTCCCTATTTCCCTATTTCCTATTTCCTTTTTTTAAAAAAATAATAGCAATATGTTGTTATTTTATTTTTTATTTTTTATTTTGCTTAATGTTATGTACATCCATCTTTTGTTAAATATGCATATTACTGCTTTTATATGGAACCTTTTATATAGATTCTAATAAAAAATATATTATTGAATCCAATACTCATCAATAATTCTAAGAAAAAGTATATATTTGTGCAATTTTATTTGATTTGCTTTCATGTAGCTAGGTATATAATTGTATATATCATAGTTTCACATATTTTGATAGATTAATGGTTAAATGTTGCATTGGATTTTTGCAAAAGTGAAACATGATTATCAATTTTCTACAAAAGGATTAATTATTGTATTGAATTTTTCCTTGTAAGAGTGATTTTATTTATTTTAATTGTTGTTTTTTGTAAGACAAAGTATTATTTATGACTTTTTAATCACGGATATTGAGTAAATTTAGCTTATTGATTGGTATGTAGTACCCCATCCATAGAATTTTTTTATTTTTTTTTATTCTTCATTTCATTCCATACATTATTCTATGATGATCTAGCTAGTGACACTGCTCTCACTCCCCACAAAAATTATTAGCTACTTACTACTCCTTATAAAGGTAATTATGTTATTATGTTGGATAATTTTTTTTTTTTTTAAAATGACGTTTATTATACTTGTGCACGCAATGCACAAATTTATGTAGATAATCTAGCAATAATACTTACAAATCAACTAATTATGAGTGATAGATGTAACAAATAATTATTGATTGTGTTGAAGGAAGCTAGATATGATCACATGATGTGGTAATGAATGTGTCACTCAATATCATGTTGTTGAAAGGTTGTAACACAAAATAAAAAATTTATATTTTTTTTTTGTTTTTTTTTTTTAGTTAAAATGGTTAAAGAGTGATATTTGTTGAGATCTTGAGTATCAATAGTAATTTCCGTTGACAACCACCAAAGATAATAGTTTTGCATTGGTTTATGCATCGAATCCGTTCTAAGCTATTGAATTCAATTAAAACTTTGATATTGTTGTCCTCGTCATCGTCAAACCTCTCATTATTTAGATTAATATCCTAATATTGACCGTTCACACGAGAAGGTTATTATAACAAGAGAAAATGAAAGGAAATATAAAAAGTTAATCTACAAATGTTAATTATTATACACTGGTATACCAACTCCAAAATGTTGGTAGTTTTGGTGCTTATGCAAGCAATTGTTAGTCATTTGTAACACAAAAAACTTTGGGTTATTTTTAAGATTGAAGTTTTTTACTTACAAAAATTCTATGGTCATATGATGGACCCAATGAATGCCTCATGTTGGTTGGCTGCCACTTGAATTGTATTTATTTTTAAGAGGCTGCTATTTGACCTTTTCTTAGTTGATGACCATAATTAACACTTTTACTTTTCGACCCTTTATTTTTAATGGATATTTTCTGTTTTTATTATTTGTTATCAATGAAAGCAAATACAACTATACAAGTAATAGTCAAAAAATTTAATACCAATTTATAAACTTTAGCTTTGGTACAACTTAGGGCCTGTTCTCATCAATTCAGCTGAACTGAACTGAACTTAACTTAACTGAATTGAAATGAATATTTTATAAGAGAAGGAAATTAGGAGTTGAACTGAACTGAACTGAATTGAATTTCAACGTATGAGAACAAGCCCTTAGCATAATTTTTTATGAGTGTTCCGTCAAAATATGGTATACATTTTTTGTTTTTGTAGTTTTTAACAATTTATACTCTACAATTAATTATGACAGAATAAAGAAAGATAATAACTAGTTTGAATATCTCAAAATTGTAAATATGGATACTTTTGAATGGATTAAGTATCTATTGCGGGCTTGTGGTCATATTGCGTTAGGATTGCGCCTAAAAATAAATAAATTAAGAAGTAGCTAGTATTGTTTAGCATTTTGTATTTAATTTACAATTAAATAAACATAATGCTAAATCATCTTAATGTGGACCGTTTATACATTGTTGACTTGCTTCTTTGCTTATTCAATTAAAAAGGAAACACAAGTTTTATTTTTAAATTTAAGCTAGTGTATACACTAAATAATTTTTGAAATTTCTAGTTGATAATTTACTTTTAAAGTTAGAAGATTCTAATGTGAATACGGGTCAAGCTCAAATCATGCATAATCCCTAACAAGTATTTTTAAAAGTAAAATTACTTGCACCGTGATTAACCAATTGAGATCAGGATATTACTTTTTGGACTAGTTATTTTTATTCTTAGGTAATTGTACAATATGATATGTTGACCAAAATATATATATATATATATATATATATATATATATATATATATATATATATATATATATATATATATGAAGTCATAAAAACAACAATATGGACAATCTTTGAATATAAACGTGTAAGACTTTATCTTTTATGTTTAGCATTTGTAACTAGGCAATTCTATTATTATAAAGCATTAGTAAGATGCTCAAAGTTTGAAGGTCATTTTTCTAATTAAAATCAAACTAAGTCAATACTTAATATTTCTTCAAATTTAGGCATTGTTTCTTTTAATTTGAATCCCTAAAGATCATATAATTATTGTTTTTTGAAATAGAAAAAAAAAAAAAAATTCCCCTTATTTGTTTCCATAAAACTATTTGATAAGAATATCACATAAGATTTTGTGGTACAAAAATAATCTACTTTCTCATATTACCACATCATATCCAAATCCTAAATGATCTTTCAATACACAAACAAGAAACAAATCATACTCATTTATGAATTTAAAATCCTAGTTCTTGTGATATGATGATCACACAATATCTAATTACTTTAACAAGAAACAAATCAAATTACATCTATAAGGATCATATGCTAATATTATATCTCAAAATAAAATTGTGCGTTTTTAAAAGAGTAGCGAAGATAGTATATAAGAATAATGTCATACAATTAACTCCTCAACAAGCTATTCTTAATCATTCGACAACTTGTCATACCATAGTACTAACCAAATTAAACATTGATAATTAAAATAAAAAAATAAAAACTCTATTGCATCCCCCAAATAAAAAGCAAGAATAATAAGCATATTCTCATTTCATTTTTTTTTTATTTTTTTATAACCATATACATACTATAGTTTTTTTTTTTCCTCTTATAAATTTAGATTTTACAATCTCGTAAAAAAAATTTAGATTTTACAACCAAATTAAGGCACCCCAATATAAATATATATATTTATTTTTCATATTTTTGAAATTAAAATTTTTTTTTAAAAAAAAAAAAAAACCACAAACTTCTCCCACCAGCAAACAAACCAACAAAACGCAAACCCCCCTTTCTTCTTCTTCTTCACCAAACTGAGCAATTTCTTCTTCCAAATTCAGGTATTTTTTGCTTTCTCTCTCTATAATCTTTTATTCATCTTTTAATTCTTTCAATTTCAAGCATTTATTTTACTTTTATTTGATCTTGTAATCTGTACATTATTCTGATTATTGGAGTTTGTATCATTTTTTTTACATGAATTTATGTTTGATGTTAGCTGATTGTGGTTCTTAGATTGCTGATTTTGATGGTTTTTGTTAATTTTCTGTTATCTTTTCTGGAAATTTGATTTTGTTGTTCATTAGTTCATAAAGTGATGATTGGCTTTTTGTAAGAAAAAATGTGATCGTTGTGTTTCACTGCTAAATTAACTCTCTTTTTTTGGGGGATTTTGATTAATATTGAGAAAAGAGAAATTTAAATTCTTGGAATTTGAAAATTGGTTTTAAAATTGCTTATTTTCTATATTTATTTATTTTGTCTGTAATATCAATTTAGTCTTAATTACAAATTGGTATCAGTTACACATGATTTGTTACATAGTATTGTTTATGCATGTAAGTTTTAGTCATTGATCTTGCTTTAATAGTTTTTGTAATCTTCCTGAATTTTGGGTTTCGTTTCATGTAACAGGTGTATTTAGATTTGATTTTTAGTGTGAAAAGGTTGATTTTATGATGAGATTCAAGAAGGGTACGAAAGTGGAGGTATTGACCCAAAAGGAGATGCCGTCGGGATCATGGAGGTGTGCCGAGATAGTAGGTGGTAATGGCCACAATTACACTGTTAAGTATGAAGGGGATGTGGAGCTTTCAGGGAATGGAATGGTTGAAAGAGTGTCCCAGAAAGTGATTAGGCCTTGCCCACCTTCGGTGGATGTATTACAGGATTGGGTATCTGGTGATGTTGTTGAGGTTTTTCACAACTATTCTTGGAAGATGGCCATAGTTTTGAAGGTCTTGGTACATAATTACCTATTGGTTAGGCTACTTGGATCTACCATTGAACTCAAAGTGAGTAAGTTTGATGTTCGGGCAAGACTTTGCTGGCAGGATGGTGAATGGATTGTGATTGGAAAGGTATATTATCTATACACATTATTCCTTAAGAGATTTCTATGTTGACACTTTAGCTGTTTGATGTACCCTGTAGTTGGTATTCAGTTTCACTATTTTTTTCATCAATTTTTTTTTTTATATGGCAACTAATTGTTGTAATTGAAGTCTTTCAAAAATCCAGTTCTTTTCACTGTAGTATCCGGTTTGTCATTGAAGCCATCACAACAAGCTTTAAACATAGTCCTTTCCTATGTCATTTTATTTTGGGGGTAGGGTTATTTGTTTACAGGGCTGCAATCTGCTGAAGGACTTTTAATGTGTGGATATTTCCTTCCATTGCTATATTGTTTTTATCTGCTTATATATTATACAGTACATGGAGAGAAATTACCCTTTTTTTTTTAATTATTGGACCAATGTTCTTAATAAATCAATTTGCTTATATGTATGTTGCTTCTCTATGTAGGCTTCCAACAAATGTGAAGATTCGAGGTTCAGGCTTCCATCGTCTCGAAAGGGTAATAATCAGTTGCAGAAAGTTGATGCTGCTGTGTGTGTACCTATGAAGGGTTACCATGTTGGCATTAGGAATCCTGATAACATTAAGGAATCTCTTGTGATTCCTTCCAGAGCTCTGAAAAGGAAGCAATCCCATTGCTATTCTCAGATTGAAGCATATGCAGGGCCTAAGCGGAAAATTAGAGTGGAGAAAAGAGAGGACATGCAGCAACAACTCGAATTACCTGAAAAGGTAGATGATGTTGCTTCTTCACGAGCAATGCTGCATGAAAAATGCATGTGTCCTTCTTTAACCAACAAAGTAACTGGGTGTTCTGAGTTGATTTTGGAGAGGGAGAAAACGGATGGTGCTGTTGGATGTTCACGTTCAGTTAGTTTAGAATCAGATGATGATAACAGTGTCTCATCTTCTGTTGGTAGTTGTAGTGTCTATGGGAATTACTCCCATAAATTGCATCGTTTTTTTGCCACAGGTCCTTGTGAAGATAATGACAGTCAAAATAGTGATGCTGAATCTTGTAGTCAGTTGAGACCCGTTGAAGGAAATTCTTTCCTTCCCGCAAAAGAGGAGTTGACAGAAGAAATACATAGGTTAGAATTGCAAGCCTATCGTTGTACTATAGGGGCATTGCATGCATCAGGTCCGTTAAGTTGGGAACAAGAACTTTTATTGACAAACCTTCGCCATTCACTGCATATATCAATTGATGAACATTTGAAGGAGATAAGGACCTTGGTTGCATCTAGTACCTGCATTCCTTCTAGTTGACAAATCATAGGTTTGTCCAATTTTTCGTCAATTATTGCAGTAGATAGTAGGCTCTTTGACTGTCTTTCACAAGTGTAAAAAAGCAACCCAAGTTGTGTCTTCGCTGCCTGTGTATTAGCTCTTTGGTTTCTCAATAGTTTACTTACAAATACTTGTACTTGGTACTATGACAAAGTAATGAATGCTTTTTTTATTTCTGAGTTTATTGCTCTCTTTTCGTTCTCTGTCTCTGCCTCTGTCTCTCTCTTTACCTGACTTCCCTACCCCTGGCTCTCTCACAGGATTTTGCTGTCCAATGTTTTGCATCCTGATGCATTTGATTATCTTTACGATATTTGTGATCACATTAGTACTTTCTTGTTTGATAAGAGTTAAATTGCAGTCTGTATAATTTTTGAAGCAGTTTGCTAATTGCTAATAAACAGTTGCATTTAGCTCCTTCTATATTGATGATATTTGGTAGTGTGCCATCATTTGTGTCTTTATAATTGATGCAGTGACCTACACCTCGGTCATCTTACTACTTTCTCGTTAAAGCAGTGATATGTGCTTTTATTCATGGCATATGAACTGTTTCGTTTATCCAAAGAAAGAAAATGAAATAATTTTCCTTTCAGGATATTATTGATACTTCCCAATGCATTTCCAGGGCCATAGCAGGGGGCTTTTCCAGATGCATAAAGATGATACTGGGATCTGCCACCTCTGTTTTGGTGTGACTGTGCCAGTATCTGCATCCAATCCCTTGCTCTAGAGGCTTATGATGCTATTGATGACTCTGTTACGCATTGCTGGCTGCTGCATTCTTCCATTCTGGGCCTTGCTGGAGCCTTGAATGCTTGTCTGCTGAAGGATGTAAAGCCAGAATCTTGTGTCTGCGACAAGGTATCTGTGCTGATACTTAAAAAGGTTCCATTTTCAATCTTTATATTGGATTAGAGTTATTCCAGCTAACCCTTTTGATCAGTGCTAATTCTCATATGGCCTCATTAATGACCTGCATTCTTTAGATTGGTTTATGGTTGCTCCAAGTTTAAGTAACTTTCTTGCTACCTTGAAAATTGAGATAGAAGAATCATTTGTGACATTAATGAAGATAACAAATATGTGACTAGAAGTACTATTGAGATATGAATTTAGCTATTTAAATTATGGTTCCTTAATTATATAGAACAGGATAATATAGTCGTTCAGGAAATTAATGATATTGTTTACTCACATGTATTTGTTGAAGGAAATTAGCCACTTTGTATATGGTAAAGCTAGCTAGAGATTGTTTAGCATCCTATTATTATGGATATTGTCAGTAAAATTCAGAAAACTTGAAAGAAAAATGAAGTATACATGTCATTCTTTGTTTATGATGTCATAGATTTTTTGTTGCTCAACTTCTAGAAGAAAACCTTGAAATTGGGTTTGGGTCCTTAAATAAGATAGTAAAGATACAAGTGTCTCAATGTGAATTCTCTCAATGTCAGTATGTCGTGTATCTTTATAGTTGAAGATTTGTTTCTTTTATGTAATTAAGTTTGAATTGTAACTTTGGCATTTTCTTTACTCCTTGTAAAAGGCTGCCTTATATCATCGAATTTTATCTACCTCAGCTGTTCTTTAAGATCAATCATAACTCTTCTATAAACAACTCGGCTCTTTTTAATTCACTAATGTTATTGGTTTATTCCACTCTGCTGCTACTGGACGATGTATGTCATTTTCTCCTGAGAGCATTAGTAGAGATTTTAGCCCATTTTTACTGAGATTCATGTGTTGGAAGATAGGAGTAGTATCGTATAAGTGCAACTGGTGAAGAATTCATTTTCTGTAACCAGCTAGAATACTGAAGTTTGCTAATCCTCAAGTTCCACCGAGGCTAGTTCTGTGATTCGGGGACATTTGTAACCGAGATATGAAAAAGCCCTGCTTATCATGCTTCTGTGATCTCTGTTATTAGCTCACTTTCACTTTGTTACATAACCTTTGTCCATATCATTACCTAATATAAATGATCATGGATTCCATACATTGTTATTGCTATATCCATCCTTATTACTCTTTGTAATATTCGGTCCATCATAACTTCCTTTTTAGGGAATTTGGATAACTGAGAGAGATGTTGGCAATCCATCTTTTGGATGTTCAGATGTTATATACATAGCCCATGATTCAAGGGATTGTCTTTTTTTGCCTTTTATTCTCTTATTAGGTCAAATTTCCCTTTTAGTCAGGGGTTGTCTATGTAATGCCTCATTGTCTCTTGTTCTTACTTTCTATCTATCTGACTAATTCTGTGCAGAGGCTTATATTTACAAGAGAAGCACAAAATAGTTGTCCACTTCATCCTGTTTACCTCATGGCCAAGCTCTTGAATCTTTTGTCTGAACTTTGAATATTGCAGACTCAGGTTATAGTTGAGCTTAGATTATTTAGCTTCTGATTCATTTAATGAAATGTAGCCTGTTCAATATGCACTGTAAGGGCCTGTTCTTATACGTTGAAATTCAATTCAATTCAATTCAGCTCAGTTCAGCTCAGCTCAGCTCAGCTCCTAATTTCCTTCTCTTATAAAATATTCAACTCAGCTCAGTTCAATCAATGAGAACAGGCCATAAGTTGTGAAGACAGTTTCTGGTTGAGCTGTGTGGCTCATCTTCTACTTTAGGCTACTGTAAATTTCTCTGTGAAACTCTGAAGTTTGTTCTTAAAAGCTACATTCTTTGCAATCTTCGCATCTATAAACTCATTTCAGATTTGAATATTGAAGTAATAGCTTTATAAGAGAAGCAATGTGATCATATTTGTTCAGGATGGGTTCAATACCTTTCTTTCCTTTTTTATTGCTGGCTCTTTTTCGATATGATTAGAAGGACTTCATCTGCATACAATTTCTCAGATCTGAGTTCATTCTAGTTGTGAAATTGATCCATTTTCTAAATTTACTTCATGGTTGGTTGAAAGAATTTGTCTTGAAAAGATCATGTGATTAGAGTTGCTGCGTCATGTATTTGGCCTTTTCTTGTGTCATGTAAGCAGAGTTCAGGGACTTGTGAGCATGTACATTACTATTTCTTTTGTTCTAGTGCCAGAGCCAAAGCTGCAAAGCAGCTTCATATGATGTGGATAATTTCCTATCATTTAGCCTTGATGGAGGCCTATTGGCTATTACCACCGACCACCTCTTGTTAACTTAGGAAATAGCTGGTTTAGTCTTTCTCAAATGTCAGACACACATCTGTTCAATGCTAGCCAGACATGTATATATGTTCTTCTGTAAACCTAGTCTACAAATAAGAATATAATTAACCGTACTATTAAGGAATTCTATGTTGGGAACTTGGGATTTTAGATAAATTCTGAGGCAAGATCATAACAGTGGAAGCCTGAGTCCTGATAGTATTACAATATGGCTGGCAGCTCAGAAAACATATATGATGAAGTATTAATTAAGTTTTCTATCACATTGGTTATAATCACTATCGTGAATGGCCTCCTAATAACCCACTTATCCCTTCTTTTGGGTTGTAGATTTGATTTAAGCTGCCTTCCACCTCACGGATTTGCGTACAAGACCTATGTGGACATGTGGAACTTGGGATTCATGCCCTGGTCTTGTCTGCTTAAATTACTTCCCGGGGCTGTGCAAATGATGATGTTGGAACTGACTATTTTTAAGCGTAGGTAAACGTGTAGCTCTTCCTCTATCATTTTATATTTCCAAATTAGCAGTGAAACCCTGGTAACCAGTCGTAGCCTATATAGGGCCGGAAAATGTTATGAGATCTTGCATTCTTTCCTTAATTTTCCTCCTTGCTGAGTCCTTATTTGCAATTGCCATAGACTGCTTTGGGATCTTCTTTAAGCCATTTTAGGATGAAAACATCTTAACAATTATTTAATTTTTCATGAACTGCATTTGCTGAACTGCTGAGAAAAATACATAGCAGTGTATTAAGCTCACACATATGAAGTATGATTCTAGGTCTTCTGAAGATGATCTATTTGTATTACAGGTCCAAGTTATTCAAATTTCAAAAGAACTTATGCAGCTGATGCGTTCTGAAATTGTGTGAAAGCTGGCTATGTACTTTCTTTTCTGGAATAAACCTCTTGCAGAGTAACTGTCCCATTTCTGAATGGTATGTATTACGAGAAAGTTTCCTCTCTCGGGGAGTTTTGAGGGTAGGGTAACAGTTTGCTGTTTTGTTCTTGATACTAGTTTGTGGGAAAGAATTGTGACTATTAAGGCTGTACACTGTTTTACTGGAGCATATCTATTGTTTCTCTTTTTAGTTTGCATTTTCTTGTTGAATGCTAGAATCATATAGCTTGATTTGATATGATTAGTAACTCTTCGTATATTGCAACTTGCTGTATGTAACTCCAGTTACTCTTGTGCTTAGCCAGTTTGGGACCTAATATCGGATTTGTCGTTTCCTGTGATTCTAAAGGACGGTTGGGAAAGGAAAGTCCTTTTTAATACAGCTGAACATCAAAATCACAGGTACAAGTGTACAGCCAATAATCTCAGCCTCTTAAGTTCTCAATTTCTTTATTTTGAATCTTATATTGATGGATCCTTTAAGGATGCTTCACCTGCTAAGGGTGCTGTTGTATGTGGTAACTTTCACATATCATGATTGATGCGCCGAAACCATAATTGCACATTGTTGGCTCCAGTTAATGATCTCCCTTGCTCAGGTCAGAATTCTGAATCTTAGAACAGCGGTTTTTGTTGTATGTTCTATGAAAAATAATGCTTCAACCTGACCTTTGACATGAATATTAAGTACGCGAAAATGATTTTATGCCCTGTTTCATTTATTTTCTCACCAAATGTCCAGCCTTTTGTCTATTAACCCCATTTTGATTGATTGCAGCTTCCATGTGACGGTGCCCCCCTCGCCCATATTCTCTTAAGGGACTAAGAGAGGGACTTGGACGGAAGGTATATTGGGGAATGTTTGCATTTATTAGATTTCGATTACGCTACTATATATATATATATAACTTCTTGACGTGGAGAACTTTGAGCCTTTAGACAGAATGACAGTTACAAATTAGTTTTCAAGATTTTGTGATTATTAATGTTGTCAATATTTAATTCCTGATTAAGTTGGCTAACTGATTGTTCTAGGGACAGTTAACAGCTGCACAGCTGCTGTTGTGCTGACGCCGTCAAGTCTGGCATTGAAGGCGATTCATATTGAGTTGTTAAGGATGTTACTATCTATGGAAAGTCACGCACCCTGAACTTTTTGGTTCCCTGCATGTTTGCCCGAAACTTGAATCAGTAATTTTCATCAGCATCGTGTGAGGGCAGGACTTTTCACAGGATTTTGAGGGTGATAAGCTCTACTGTCATCAGTTATAACATCACTACAGTTCAAATTATACTATTAACGTGACAATTATACACGAAGAGAGTATATATACAATCTGCATAAGTTTATCCCCAAGCAGAAAACAGATCAAACTCGAACCCAAATTGGTGTAGATGAAAGAAGATATTTTATTTCACATCATCTTTCTAGTTTGTAATGAACTGCTTTTGCTGTTGTTATTAAGTGTTATTGCCAAAAAATTTATTTATTTTTTTGAATGGAAGTGTTATTGCCAATATAGTAAGGCCATGTACAATTGAACATCACTTGGTTTAATAGCTATATCATATAATCTCTTTATAACTCGATTTCTATGACTAAAATTTAAACGACTAAGGTCGTGTTCTCTTTAGCTTATCAATTCAGTTTAGTGCAGTTCAACTCTAATCAGGTCAGTTTAATTTTTAATTTCCTTTTCTCATAAATAATTCATTTCAACTCTTTCCAATTCAGTTTAGTTCAGCTCAGCTCAGCTCAGCTCTAATCAGTTCAGTTCAATTCAGTTGTTTTCAATAAATTAGAACAAGTCCTAAGTACAGCTAGCATGTTAGCCACTAAACAATCATCAAGTTAAGGAAAAAAAAAAGAAGAAGAAATATATTCTCTCGTAATTCAAGTGCAAGAAAAAAAAAAAATAACTTAGTAGTATTTGGGTATCAGTAAGTAAAAAAATTGTCATTTTGCTCAATAATTATATGTTGTTAATTATCTAAAAACAAAGGTTAAAAAAAAATAATAATAACAAAAACAAATTACAAAAAACAAAAAACAAAAAACAAAACAAAAAAAACACACACTATTTCACCTAAATTTGTTCCAATCTTTTCCGTGATGCATTTGTAATTTTGCATGAATGTTCAAAAGGGGTGCGTCCAGAAATCATTACTATTATTCATCGGACCAAATTTTAAAGATAATATTTTACATTTATCTTCTATAGTATTGCCTAACAGTCAGCTCTAATACAGCATCATGTTGTACCAAACCTACTTTTTTTTTGTATAATGACCACTAGCCAATTGACCTTGGGACCAGGGATGAAGCTTTTGAGTGGTGAAGACAAAGCCTTAACCCCTCTTAAAATTCTTATCTTAACTATAAGTAAAATAAAATACGACCTATTAAATTATAAAATTACCGAGTAGAATTTTACATGAGTTATCCTGACACAATCTTGATAAAATCGGCTCTGGATAGGAGGGAAGAGTATGGCCGGGGAATCCCACCATCTAGTTAGAGTACCTTTGATGTGTGGAATACTAATCTTATCACTAGACCAACGCTACTATCCTCAACACGTGGTAATCAACTCAATCTATCATATGGTATCAAGATAAAGCCATACTATTTCCAAATAGTTGGTTGATATGGATGATATAACTCTTTGTTGACAAAACTTTCTTATTTCTTTGTGTCCACCTAAAAGAAGATGCATTAAAATCTTTGGTGAGTCTAACAAAACAATTTCACAAAGATGGAATTGAACTATACAATAAGCAATTTCAAAAGAAAACCAAAACCTAACAAATTTTTTCACAAAGATGGGGTTGAACTTATACACCAAGAAACTACAAGGAAAATCCAACTTTATTTCCTTATTTAATACAAGTATAATGTCACATTTTTCATGTGAATCATAAGTGTGAAGACAACCAAACATAGCTTGTGATCACCTGAAATTGGAGTGTACTCTTTCCACCCCACATATATCATTTAACTCGAATTACTTCTAACAGAAAATGATCAAATGGGACAATTATAGCGAGATGGACAAATGTTATTGTATGTTGTTGAAGCATATGACAAGACTAATGGAATATGCATAGAAACATGATCCGGGGAATCAAAACAAACTCTTTCAACTTGGTCCTTATAATTTTGTTAGTTTCATAGCACACTTATTATAAGCCAACCTCATTAAATTTCCACTATGAAATGACTAACATGTGCCATTGACTCTTGTCACCGGAAAATGTGGTAATTTTTCTTGTGCACCTAGCTTAGCTTTGGTGTAATTGCTCCTCAAATTTTTAGGTCAAAACATTTATTCATTGTGATCATTAATTTGCCACTGAAATTCATGGTTTTTAATTAAGTTTGTGCTTTTCATGTCACTAGCAAAGTAATAGGAGCTTTCATGATTGATGACATGCATAATTCCTTTTCTTTGAAATTAGTTTTGGGTCTTTTCTGATTGTGATAGTTGATTAAGCTATTGTGATATTTTTTTGGCTTCTTCTTGAGTATGTTAAACAATGATATGGTAGATGGAAAAGGGGTGGACTAAATTTATTCAATTTTCCTCATAAAGGTTCAATTATATGAATAGTAATTAAAGTTCATTATCATCTTTAAGCTTATATACCTTTTCTTTGGTTATCTATTAATAGACCCCTATAATCCTACTTCCGATAAACTTGAACTGTATGTTGAATTAACAAAACAACTACATGCACAAAGATGGCCTAGTCTAGACTTGTAACTATTCAGATAAACAAATAGTTCCAACCTGATGTGAAATGCATAAACACCATTATATTGGAACACAGCCAATTATTTTTGTACATGGTAACATTCAACCCTTATAAGGCCTTGTTCATCAAAATTAGAATTAGGTCATGTTCTTTAGAGCTGCTCTGCTCTATCCAAAAACTCAAAAGAACAGGATCTTAGTTAGTAGTCTTTTGCTTTTGATTAGTTGGTATATTTGAAGGAGAAACTCAATCTCCCAAACAAGTACACATAAAAATACCAATACTAAAAGTAAACAATCCTTAAAATCTAAGATTGGATAGCCAAATATCTACATTGAATTATTATAAAAGAGGCTAAGCACTAAGCAAAAAGGACAAGGAATTAAAGAAAATATATTGGAATAATTTTTTTACCTTCATTAATTATTATCCAAGTAGTACATTACTAAGAATTTAAGATATCCACTCAATTGCTTCCTTTATTTTTTTAGTGGCTACATTTGTGGAAGAATGATGAGCTAATCATATAGGCAATAGACACAATTGCATATTTGATTTATGACAGCCGACAACCACAATAATAAATAACAAGTAGAAATTGAGCCAGCTCAATTTTTTGGGAATGATGCCAATTTGAGACTTTTAAAGGGTCACATTAAAAAATAAAATTAAAATTCTTACAAATAAATTAAATAATTAATGTTGTATACTAAAGTGATTATTAAAATTATTGTATGGATAAAAACTAAGACCCCATGATCATGAACTGGCCATGAATATTTGATACAGAATTTGTCTTGTTATTGACATGTTGATGATGGACCACTTTGATCTCTTTTGTTTATTTGATGTGTTACATGTCCAATTGAAATTAATTCTCCCAAATTTTAATTGTTTTATAAGAAAAATAAATTAAATGAAAAATATAAAAATGAATTGGTGATAGTTGAGAAAGGAATTATGAAATCTTCGTTTTGTCACATGGATCTTTCTTATCAGATTCATTGCATATTGAGGTTGGCATTATATTATTTATATCTCATTTGTATGGCTTTTATTATGATATTGATCGATTTGTTTGATTTGATTAGGGTGTGTTAGCTCGTTTTAATTTGCAAGTCTTTGGGAAAAAAAAATTCTTTTGGGAAAAAAAATAAAATTCTTGTGCGATATTTGATAAATTAAAAAGAGATTGGTGGTTTAGTTTTTCGTATGGCTAATATATTATATTTTTTAAAATAAATACTCTATAATTTTCGAATCATTTGTTTTTAAGAAAATAAATAAATTTATTAATTAATGTTTTTATATTGATCTTACAAAAGTAACTATCATAATTAAATTTAACTATATGGACATAATTGCATCGAGAATAAAAGGTGAAAAAGAAATTAAATGCCGAAATAAAACTCATTTATTACTATGAGATTTAAACATGAAAAAACTATTACAAGACAATTAATATTGAATGAAATTAAAGGATTGAAAGTATTATACAAGAAAGTAATCATAGACTTGCATCTTTCACTTATCTAGTCAATTTATGTCATGTTTTTCTCTTTATTTCAAGCGCAATTCAAATCTTGATTCAAAGAATTTTCCAATTGAAATTATAATTATGGTCAAATGCTATGTTTACCCTTTCTACTCCATTACTATTCCATAGTCAACTAACCTTAAGTTTAGCATATCTATCTTCCCCAACTAACTCAATGGTATCCTAGTGAAAAGGACATGAAAATAGCCATATCCTATGTGCCAAAAATAAGTAAAAGAAGCATGTTTTTTCACCCATTACACATTGTCTTTCCTCAACTAGATTACAAGTACAAAACAATGATGTTAGAGAGGAAATAATTTGTACAATATGTTGCCATATAATTTGTTAAGTGGGACCATAATACATTCTTATGTCTCTTAACACATTTTGGATAAAAAGGATTTCAATAACATGTAAAAAAATCACATCCTTTAGCCTTAATTAGGAATTAGCTAAACTGAATTAAACTTATTAGAGCTGAACTGAACTTATTAGAACTGAACTGAATATTTTATAAGAGAAGGAAATTAGGAGCTGAACTGAACTAAACTTATTAGAGCTAAACTGAACTGAACTTATTAGAGCTGAACTAAACTGAACTTAGTAGGGGTGAAAGTTCGGTTTTCGGTTTGGTTTATAGGCCAAACTGAAACCGAACCACCCTAATTCGGTTTTTGGTTTTTGGAAACCAAACCGCACCACTTTACTTTTGAAACCAAACCAAACCAAACCATATAAATTTCGGTTTCAAAAGAAAAAACCGAACCAAACCGAATTTTTTTGGGCCTGGTTTATTTGGGCTTTAATCTGAAATTTTTGTGGGCTTAAATCATATAAATATTATATTCATCAACATATGTAGTAGCATAAATGCTTAATGAGATTTAAACAATATTAACAAGTTCTAAAACTTCAAAGTTATAATTCAAAGTTTTAAAAGTTCAACACTTCATCCAAAAAAAAATAAAATTGTTCAACATTACAACTTTAACAATTGTTTAACAGCAGTAGCAACAAGCAGCATAGACCAAGTTCTAAAAGGCAGTAAAAAAATTGTTTAACAGCAGTAGCAACAAGCAGCAGGGCAGCAGCAACATCATAACAGCAGGTCAGCAGCAAAAGCAGGTCAGCACTCAGCAGCATAGACTAAGGCAGTAGCAGTGATAGAGCAAGGCAGTAGCAAGTCTGGCAAGTGGCAACAGCAAGTCAGCAATGAGCAAAGAGCCACATCAGTCTATTATTTCAAGCACTTCATCAATATCAGCATCACCAACTGCCATATTATTCAAGTCTATCATAATTCATAACAAAAA